GCTCATATTATTACAGTCTTTTAAGAAGCTGCAGTTTAGATAATTTAACAGTAAAATCAGTAAGGACTTAACAATTGACTTTATCAAAACTTGCCATTTTGGGGGAGAAAGGAGGCATAAAAATATGTGATCAACTATACTTTGTTTAACAGAGTCACTTGTATAAATAATTAAAATAAAATCTCAATTTTCCAAAACTACTATCACTTAGAACAGTGGTCGGCAAACCGCAGCTCGCGAGCCACATGCGGCTCTTTGGCCCCTTGATTGTGGCTCTTCCACAAAATACCACGTGCGAGCGCGCACGTACAGTGCGATTGAAACTTCAGTGCGATTGAAACTTCGTGGCCCACGCGCAGAAGTCGGTTTTAGGCCTGGGCGAGTCTATTTTGAAGAAGTGGCCTTAGAAGAAGTGGGGGGGGTCGGTCGGTCGGTCGGTTGGGCGATGGGCGATGCAGTGTAGGCGGGGCTGCGGGATACGCAGCGGGGGAGGCTCACGATTCATGCACGAGTTGAGTGAGCCAGTCAGCAGCCTCAGTGCAATGGTTAGTGCTAGTCGTGTCCGCAAATCGCGCACAGGTTTTTTTTAGATGCCCTCTTTGAGATGGCTACAAAGAAGAAGCAAAGAAAAACGGAAGACGAAAACCGTGAATTTAAAGTTGAATGTACCTACCTATATAGTTTAAGTTTAAAAAATTTGGCTCTCAAAAGAAATTTCAATCGTTGTACTGTTGATATTTGGCTCTGTTGACTAATGAGTTTGCCGACCACTGACTTAGAAGATTGGGATTATTAAAATAAATTTAAAGATGTATTGAATTCAACTGAGAATTTAAAAGGCCAAGGTAGTCCTATAATTGGTGTTTGGGCTGAAAAAGCTAGATTGGTGAAGTGCAAGAATATTAGAGTCAGGAGACCAGAGATAAGGTGATAACCAAGGCCAAAGAGGACAAAGGAAAGTGAAAAGGTGACAAGTATTGGAGCAGCTGATGTGAGGTGCCCTGGGTGTTGCAGGAGAGCACAAAGGGGATGACAGGAAAGCAGGGGATAGACCCACACCATTTCACTAGGAATTTAATTTTTAAATTAAATTAAAAATTTTGTTTTAGAGAGAGAGAGAGAGGACGGGAATAGAGAGAGAGAGAAAAAACACTGATCAGCATGCCCCCTACTGGGGATCGAGTCCACAACGCAGTCATGTGCCCTGACCAGGAATCGAACTGGCAACCTTTTGGTGCATGGGATGACACCCAACCCACTGACCAACGCTGGCCAGGGCTCAAAAATATTTCCTAAAAAAATCCTGAAACATCAAAAAGGTTTATGTTCAATATATTACACTTGGTTATAAGAGGATATAAACAGTTTAGAAAGCATATCTGCTAGGGTTAAAACAGAAAAGTTAAAAAACACAGATAAGTTGTGCTTGGAGGATTAATCTGGTAACTAGACTATTCTCTGGCTGTTCTATTTGAAGTTTCATGAAACTTGTATTTTTTATAAATTTGCTATATAAATTAAATTCTATTTAATTTATCATAAATTAATTCTTGTAACAGATTTTAAGTATTTAATTTTGAAATATTTCAAGTATACAGGAAAAGTTGAAGTATTTTAGATTAATAGACATCCATGTACCCACTACCCAGTTTTAACAGGTATTACATTTTGTCATATTTACCCCAAATATTTTTTAAAGAAATAATGTCTTATATAAACAACTAAAAAAGCCCCTTTTATGTATGCTTTTGTGCTTTCTGTAAGCATATAGTTATGAACAATGTATACCATTGTATGTGAATGTAGGTTGGTAATTGCTTTGGAGAACAGTTTGGCAATACCCAATAGAATTGATGTTGGTCTTTGTCAGTTATCTCATGATACATAACAAACCACCCCAAAATTTAGTGCCTGACACAATAATTTCTTATTTCTCCCGGTTCTGTGGGTTGTCTCGGTGGTTCTTCTGTTTGTTTCATCTGTGCTCGTTGTTGGGCCTGATTCAGCTGGGACACTGGATGGGCAGAAAGCTTCAAGATGGTCTCACTCACGTGTTTGCCAGTTTATGCTGGTTGTCAGTGACAGTGCTGTTCCTCTGCCATGTGGCCTCTTGTCTCACAATAGGCTAGACTGGCCTCCTTCCATGGTGGTCCAAGGGCAGCCATCCAGTAAACATAAGTTGAAGTTTCAAGGTCTCTCATGGCCTGGGCCCTGAACTTATAATAGTGTGGCTTCCATGTGTTTTGTTGGTCAAAGCAAGCCTTCATTTTTGAGAAAATTCTACCACATTATCATACCCTTCAATTTAGCTGTTTTACTCCTCTCTGTCCTGGAGAAACTTACAAAACAGAGACATGTAGTACAAAGTTGTGCACTGCCGACTTGTTTATATTAGCCAAAAAGTAAAACAATATAACTATCTTTCAGAGGAAAATGGATAAGTTTTAGTTTACTTAAAAAATACCATATAGCATTTCGCCGAAACCGGTTTGGCTCAGTGGATAGAGTGTCGACCTGCGGACTGAAAGGTCCCAGGTTCGATTCCGGTCAAGGGCATGTACCTGGGTTGCGGGCACATCCCCAGTAGGAGATGTGCAGGAGGCAGCTGATCGATGTTTCTCTCTCATCGATGTTTCTAGCTCTCTATCTCTCTCCCTTCCTCTCTGTAAAAAATCAATAAAAATATATTTAAAAAAATACCATATAGCATTTAAAATTAATGAGCTACGTCTATATGAATCACCATGAATAATTCTAAAAATAGGTTGAGTGAAAAAGTCAGGTTGGAAAGAATATGGGTAGACTTATCCTATATAATAAAAGGGTAACATGCAAATCAACTGAACAGCGGAACAGCCGGTCGCTATGATGTGCACTGACCACCAGGGGGGAAGACGCTCAACGCAGGAGCTGTCCCCTGGTGGTCAGTGCGCTCCCCCTGGGGGAGCACTGCTCAGCCAGAAGCCAGCTCAGCTCAAGGCTGGCGAGCTCAGTGGTGGTGGAGGGCTAAGGAGGGCTCCTGGAATGCCAGAGGGCACAGGCCGGGCTGAGGGACTCTTGCATGAATCTCGTGCACTGGGCCTCTGGTGTTTATATAATAACTTTGAAGTTTAACATTTGAAGTTTCTCGTGTAGGCTAGTGAGGATTTTGGTTTTGCTTTTGTTTTAAATCGCAGCTTATCTTTGGATGGCCTCCTCACAACTGGTGCTTTGAGTAGCTTCCATCCTTGGACAGCCAGTTAAGTTGTCCTGTTTTCTGGCCAGACCAAGTGCTTTGTCTGGTCTAGCCATCACTAACAAGTCTGTGTTTAGTTTGTTGGCCATTCGATTGTAGCTCTTTATGCAGCTTTATCAGTATTGTTGGAAAAGACACTTAGAGTACAATTCTTTACTGTCTAAACTTATACCAGTTTATCTTCTCTGAGTTTCTTACCTGTAAGTGGGTAGGGCGATATGTATTTCATAGAGGTGATGGGATGACTGGGATAATAATGCATAAAACTTTAGACCAGTACCTGGTATAATGCAGGTGCTCTGAAGTTCAAAAACACACACAAACATATAGAATGGCATCTACATTAAATTTACTTTCAATTGTGTAATGACTAGGTAGGATTACTTTAATTGCAGTGGGCTTCTGAAATTATGAAAGTTCATTATGATTAACTATAATTTACATTTTAAAGGTAATTTAAATTTATCAAGTTCTTTATAAAGTTCACTATCTGATTTTGTTACCAAGACAACTTTGTAAGATAGTAATCTTCTATTTAAGATAGCCTTCAAGTTTCAGGACAGGTTAAACAAGCAGTGGTAGTAGAAAGCTGATAGTGGTTGTAATGAAAGCATATTAAAGTAGAAATAATGATACTATTATATTTTAATTTTTATGAGTTCTTTTTGGTTTGTGTGCTTTACTACTTAGATTCTGAATACATTTGACTCTGTACTTTTCATGTTTGCGTGTGTGTATGAGGGAGGGGGAGAGGGAGAGAGAGAAAGGAGGAGAGAGAAGGACTGTAGAAGAGGGTTGGTTGTGTCTTAATGGGACTGGAACTGCTGAAAAAGGAGATCCACCACCTCTTTCTCACTCAGATCCAAGAGTGTTGTATCCTCCACTCCTACCCTAAGGTCATGTTTTTAAATGCAGGGCTGATTGTCAAGATTCTTCTTTCTTTCTTTTCTTTGCAAATGTATAAATGTTTTATGGCAGCTAAGTATATGCCAGGGATTTGAGGAGAATTCCTTAGGTTGAATATGGATTAAAATTAACCCCAGTTTGGCTAACCATGTAGGATTTGCTAAGCCAAGTATGACAAATATATTTGGTAGCTACTATTCAAATGCTTTGATTCAATTTATGCATATTAAACTAATTTTTTTTGAATCCTCATCTGAGGATATGTTTTTATTGTTTTGCGAGAGAGATAAAGGGAGAGGGGGAGAGAAATATCAATGTGAGAGAGAAACATTGATGAGTTGCCTCCCGTACGTCTGCCAACTGGGGCTGGAAATTGCAACCTGGGTATGTGCCCTGACTGGGAATCGAACCCACCACCTTTCAGTGCACGGGACAACGTTCCAACCAAATGAGCCACACTGGCTAGGGCTGAATGTTTTTTTATTTTATTTCATGCTTTAAAAGTTTAAGAGAAACTTAAAAATATTTGACACTCTGACTTTTGTGGAATGTAACTATTGGTGATTGGTATTTTGGATAGTCTATCTTCTTAAATAATTCCCCTTTTGGGTGTTTTGTAATTAAAAAAAAATTAGATACTTAATGTATTAGGTCTTTATCATCTCTTTTACATTATCATAAATATATCACCTAAACCATTTATATGGATTTACTTCCAAGTAAGTAATTTTGACTTTGGGATCATATGTGAGTGATAGATTAGTTTTGAAATAGGTTATATTTATCACTTATCCTATCTCTGAAGTGCTTTAGAAGCAAACGATACTAAATTTATTTTTTGTTTTACTTTGTATTTCAGAGTCTCTGTTGATTTTGGAAGAAATACCCGGTAACAAACATGACTGAGTTCTGGCTTATTTCGGCTCCTGGGGAGAAAACATGTCAACAAACGTGGGAGAAATTGCATGCGGCAACCACAAAGAACAATAATCTTGCTGTTAGTTCAAAGTTCAACATTCCTGACTTAAAGGTAAAAATGCACTCTGCAGCAGTGTATGAGTTCATCATGAAAGGGAGACAGTGTATCTCTGCTTCCCTTTTGGTAGAAATGAGATACCCAAGTTCCTTCTCTGGCCATTGGCATAATTTAAAACCTGTTCTTGTTCTTTCCAATCTTCAGATTTTAGATAATAAGTAAATTGAGATTTTTAGAAGTGAGCTATCTAAACAAAATAACATTTTTTTCTAAACATTTATGCTTTTCTAAATTGTAATTTAAATTGTAATGAGAAATCTTATAAAAAGATTTGATATATATTTTGGGAGTTATGAATTCCTTCAAGACACTGATATAGACTATGGACATTTCTTCCAAAACATGCTCATTTACACACACACAGTTTTGCATATAAATTCAGTTACAGACCCTCTAATGTAGTCACGGATCTGTGCTTAAGAGCTGCTATTGTAAACCATGGCTTCAGACGATCCACCGTCACTGGGCAGGACAAGCAGAGGCATAGACCTGCCTTTGCAGAATTGTCATGTCTTAAACAGTGGTTATACCCCTGCATTAGAGGATTATCTTGTACATATAATAGTTTTGAAATGTCTGGCAAACATTTTTTAACCACACTTGCACATTATGAAATAAAAAAAGGAGAACTTAAGTTTGTGGGCCCTTCAAATTAAGATGTTGTACCATCTTGTTAAAAAAAAAAGAGAGAGAGAGAGAGAGAGAAACCTAAGTAATAAAATGCTGTATTGCCCCTCTAGGTTGGCACACTGGATGTCTTGGTTGGTTTGTCGGATGAACTGGCTAAACTGGATGCATTTGTAGAAGGGTAATGTACTTATACGCACAGACTAGAGCAAAATGAAAGTCACTGTTACCAGGCTACTAGACATTTGGTTTATTATCACACATAGATACTGTGCTTATTGGAATGAAATCAGACTCTCTCCTCTCTGGTTCTGGGTGTATCACCTGAGAACTGCAGCTGCCAAGTCACCACAGCTCGGCAGCTCCTGCGTTGAGCGTCTGCCCCCTGGTGGTCAGTGCGCGTCATAGCTACCGGTCAGATGGTTGGATGTTTGGCTAGTCGCTTAGGCTTTTATATATATAGATAATTTCCATCCAATAAAATACACCCGTTCAAAGTGTGATGTTATCATTTTTATTGAGATATACTTTACATGTCATGCAATTCACCTATTTAAAATGTACAATGCATTGATTCTTAGTATATTCACAGAGTTGTGCAGCCATCACCATAATCAACCTTAGTATATTTTTATCAACCATGAACATATGCACATTTTTGAATGTTCATAGCAATGGTTCTGTTTAAAAGATACTTGTTAATTTATAGGGGAATAATAGTTTGTCTCCTTTGAAGGAATAGGTGAATTTTGGAGACACAGCCAAGTGTATGTACAAATCCCAGGTTAAACATGTTGAAGATTTATGGTTTATATTTTTTTCTGAAATTGTTCCACTTCCTTAGGTTGAGGTCATTCAAATTTAGCCCTTCTATCAATTTTTCTGGTCCTTATTATTGGTTCTTGTGCAGGAGTTTCTGAATTTGTCTTTCAATTTACCCTTCCTGCCATTGAGCACACAGTCATCAGATTGTCCGAGCCCTGTTCTGACTCTGTTATCCCTCTCTCTAAAGTCTGACATCAGAGGCTGTCTGCAGTCTGGCCCAGCCTACCTTCCCAGCATAACATCCCCTTCTCGTCAGCATGACATTCCAGGCAGTCTGGACTGCTCATCATTCTCTGATTGCCTGTTGCTTTTCTGCCTCTCCTGGTCTTGACTCATGTGCTGCCCTGTGGCAAGAGTATACTTTCTTCCTGTCTAGTCATCCTTTCAAAACCATTCCTTTCCGTCGTTACCCAGTTCAGGAGCCATATGCTTCTTGATTACAGCAGTTGGGAGTGATCCCTTTTTTCTTTATGCTTCTCTTTCTATAGCTTGGTAATCTTAGCTGGCACTTACCACAGATTGCTTTGTATTTAGTCATTTGTATATTTTGGTAGCTCTCCAATTCAACTTTAAGCAATGCGAAGTTAGTGATTTTGTCTCGTATACATTTGAATTTCATCCAGGGCCTAGTGGCACAACTGGATAAGGGAAAGAACACCAGACAGCAGAGTCAAAACACCACATTTCTAGTCACAAATCCGCCACTAACTGGTTTTGTTACTAAGTCACTTTTCTCCTTATAATTCGATGTCTTTACTTATAAAATGAAGAAATTGACAAGGTGATATCTAGGTGTCTCAGAAGTTTGGCACTGAGGTTTCTTGTATATGATTGCTTCTTGAAAATGTAGCTGAATCATTACTGTCGCTTGTATTCTGTTGCCTACCAGCTCCCTTTCATCCTAAGTGAAAGCATATAATTGGTGAATGCTCACTAGCTCTCTGCCTCCTCCTTTGTTCTTGATCCTTGCAGATCCATTGCCCAGTTTTTCAGTTTATAATATATGGCTATTTACAAACTTTCTCACTACATTTTCAGATTAATAAATATATTTCATGTAGTCTCTTTGAAACTCTATGGTTATTCAGTTGAGTTTTGCATAAAACAAAATTTTGGTCCATTTTATCCTTAAAACATTATTTAAAGAAGTTAGGACCCATTTTTTTTTAAATATTATATAGATACTAGAGGCCTGTTGCAGGAAGATTCCTGCAAGAGTAGGGCTTCCTCAGGCCTATTCCTGCAAGAATAGGGCTTCCTGAGGCCGGAGCGAAGCAGAGAAGAGAGCGAAGCGGGCCGAGGCTGGCTTCGCTCCCTTCTCCGCTGCCTCGCTCCCTCCCGTCTCTGCTGCCTCGGCTCCCTCCCTTCTCTACCACTTCACTCCCTCCCGTCTCCACCACCTCGCTCCCTCCCTTCTCCGCCGCTTCGCTCCCTTCTGCAGCGCTTGGCTTCCTTCTACGCTGTCTTCAGTCTTCACTCCGTGCTTGTGTATGCAAATTAACCGCCATCTTTGTTGGGTTAATTTGCATATCACTCTGATTGGCTGGTGGGCATAGCGCAAGGCCAGTCACTTTACATGTTTCTCTTTTATTAGTGTAGATGTGTAATGGGAACATATATAGTCAGTTTCATGTCTTTATATAGTGTGTTCATTGTATAGCATGGGATTTGGGTCTTTCTCCTGAAAGTTATTGTTGATTTTCTTTTCTCCCAAGGGTGGTTAAGAAAGTGGCCCAATATATGGCTGATGTATTGGAGGATAGTAAAGATAAAGTCCAGGAGAATCTGCTGGCAAATGGAGGTAAGCTAATGTCTCATGATTTGATGTTGACTTATACAAAGTGAATGACCAAGCTACAAAAACAAAAAAGAGTTTGCTTTGTGAAATAATCCTAGATAATAAAGATGTAATATGCAAATGGTCGTTACATAACGACCGACCACATAACGACTGGATCAGGGATCAGCAGGAGGGTGGGTCAGTGAGCTATAAGTGGGCAAGTGGGCAGTGGAGAGCTACAGGAGGGTGCAGGGCAGCAAGCTGAGGAGGGGGCGGGGGAGAGAGGGAAGGGAGCAGGGGGAGCTACAGGAGGGCGGGGCAGCAGGTGGAGAGCTACAGGAGGGCGGCAGTGAGCTACTGGCGCACAGATTTGTGTGCAGGCTACTAGTAGCTTTATAAAGATGGCTTTGACATCATTGTTGTCATTTGTACTGCACTTGTTGTTTGTTATGAAATACCACTTTAGCATTTTCTTTATTTTAAATTAGGCTGATCTTTAGTTTGATGTCATTACAATACAAAATAACCTTCTATTCTGTATTTCCTTCTATTCTGTATAGTATTGCCTACTATAAAGTCACTAATGTGACTTTGTTAAATTAACATTTATTAAGTAGAGCCCCAGGGCGTCATGGGATGGTGAGCCACTGTTCAACAAAAGGGAAAGTGAAATTGAGAAGTTTATTACTCTCAGGTCCTGGAGGAGGTAGGGCCCATGGAGAGGTCAAGGCAGGGTACAGGCCAGAGCATCAGGACATATGCCTTTAATAGGGTCTGTGGATGGAGTGCTTTGGGATTCCCAGGATAAGTCCTGATTGGTCAATTGAGACCAAAAAGAGTAGGTTTTGGTAACTTGGAGAGGGCCTTCTCTAAAGGGTACACAGGGGAAGGCCGTGGGCAGTGAGGGATCAGGGAGAGTTCAATCAGGAACTTACACTTGGTTGTGACTCTAGAGGCTGTTATTTACGGCTGTTATTGAGGGAGAGGGAGTGTAATTTCTAGGCCCCTGCAGGCCACTTGGCCACACAAAAGGGATGGATGCTGAGGCAGCATTATGGAGTAGTGTGGTCAGACTCTCAAAAGTAGCAGTATTTTGCCTGGCCAGTGTGGCTCAATGGTTGAGTGTTGAACTATGCACCAATAAGTTACAGGTTCTTGGGTTCAATTCCTGGTCAGGGCACATACCGAGGTTGTGGGCCCGACCCCCAGTATAGTGCGTGCAGGAGGCAGCCGATCAATGATTCTAATCATTGATGTTTCTACCTCTCTCTCCTTTCCTCTGAGAAATCAATAAAGATATACTATTTAAAATATTTTTGAGTAAGTATAAACGATTCAATCAAAAAAAAAGATTCAATCAAATTGCAACATAAAATTTTGATTAACTGATGTTAACATGTTCCACATTTATTTAATCAGAACATTTCAGAAATGATGATATATCTTCACTGATTTTCCAAATGCCAATTTCAAATAGCTGAATGTTTACTGTGTAGCAGACTACAAAAAATTCTATTGCTTCTCCTCAGTAATTAATTTATTTCCTTATTTCAGTTGACTTGGTTACTTATATAACAAGATTTCAGTGGGACATGGCTAAATATCCAATCAAACAGTCTCTGAAAAATATTTCTGAAATAATTGCCAAGGTAAGATAAAAAATAACACAGGTAGGACACATAGATTTATAGTGGCTACTTTCATTTTATAGGCATTTAGCTATGGAAATACACTTTAGGTTTTGACAAGGCAACTTAATTACAGATGATTGATACAAACAGGAGCTACCCTAACTACAACTTTACTAAAAAAAAATATATTAATAAGTATAGCACTTTCATGTGTAGAGTATCCAAGTTGTATAGTTTACTTATTTACATAGTTCATTTAAATATTGCATTAACAATGGTAAAATAAGAATCTTTAAAATTCTGTAATTATCGCTTATACACATTTAAGGGTAACAGGTGTTGTAGAACAGGAAAATGGAGTCTATTAAGGATTTATGAGTCATGTGGATGGCAATGGCCACTTATGTTTTATGTACAGTGCTGATGTAGACATTAAACTTTATGTGTTCTCTGACGCCTTCTGACAGTCATTATTGCTTCTCTGCCCAGAAGGACGCCACGCTCATACACCCCATGAATCTGTACAGTTTCAGAGAGTACACAGATCCTGAAGCCCATCCATGAACTCGCTGAGTTAAAAGCTCCTTTTATATTGCAAAGTCCTGGAGCTTGAGAAAAAATGTAAAAGTCTTACCTGAAATTATAACGAGGCAAATAGACAAAAAGCTATTTGTCAACATTTTTATGACCTGGCTAGGGTGAAAAGTATGATTTAAACTACTTGGACAGACTTTGCTTAACCCTCTATAATTTTACTTGTACAGTGTGCTCTATAGTTAAATGTAACAGAATAGATTATCAAGGATTTTAACTAAAATCATAAAATTCAATGAACTTGAGTAGTTTGATAATATAAAATGGTGTTCTTACTAAGACTGAGCCTTATTTTTTTATTCTTATCAAGGATTTAGTGTTCTTCTTCCTGATACTATATAGATGAGGAAACAGGCTAAGAGAAAGTCAAGGGACTTACCAGTACACAAAGCTAATAATGGTAGAGCTGAGTCGAAACTAGTTTTTCAGATGCTGTCAGGATTGCTGAGTGGTCAAAGGCCTCAGACTCAAGGTGCTCAAATGTGAAATCTGCTTTGTGTTGTCTCCCCAAAGTATTAGTAGTTTTAGTCATCTTTTTGAAAAATCAGCTTTTGTAAAATTTATAAATAAATGCAACTACAATTCAGAGTATGTTGAGAAAACATTTTGTGTAATAATAATAATAATAGAGTTGTGAACAATACAACTTTAATTTAGTTCCTTTGGGAATTAATCCTTCAGCCGTATAAATGGAGGCCTTTTAATCAGTAATCTCTAAACTGGTGGCCTAGATTCCATTTAGGTTTAAGAAGTAATATAGTAAATAATTAAAATACATGTGGACTAAAACAGTATCTTTAGTAGAAAAGATTCATATGGAAATTACCATGGTTATTAAAAATAAAATAGGTTATTTTAAAAATAACCTTATGAAGATGTGCTTTTAAAATATTTTTACATTAGGAACTAATTGTTGTTATTTTTTAAAGTTAGTGTTTAAGTACAGCTACTTTAATTGTATTAATAGAGGTGGGTTTAGGAAAATCTTGCTTATTTTATTTATTTTTTATTGATTTTATTTTGTTTTTTATTAAATCTTTATTGTTGAAAGTATTACATCCCACCCCACCTTCCCTCTGAGATTGGACAGTCTCTTCCATGCTTCTTTGTCTCTGGGCCTATTTTATTTTTAAAGGGAGTGACTCAGATCGACAATGACCTGAAATCCCGAGCATCTGCATATAATAACCTGAAAGGGAATCTTCAGAATTTGGAACGAAAGAATGCGTAAGCATATCAAGTATTTGTGAATATTAAGAATTAGAGAAGCACTGTAGCATACACTGAATGAGATATTGTTGGGGTTTAGTAAAGTTCCAGCTGTTTCTATAATCAAAGTGGTATTTTTTCACTTCATGGAGAAAAGTGTATTAATTGAGTCTAGTCAAAACAGATGTGAAGTTGATTTATTATACTTGTTTCATAAATAACACCTGTGAGTGCTGCTCAAGCGCTCAGCCCTGCTTTATGCATTTGGTAGAAAAATTAATTGTTTCAAATCAAATCATAGTTTAATTGCACAGTCTGCTTAGAAGAATTCTATAGAGGAATTCTTTTATAATCCGATATTCATTCTTTGTTTTCCAAGTTTAGGTGTTTTCCACCTTAGGTTTACTTAAAATCAAATACACTTCTTCTGGTTGATCTCCTTGTAGCATAACTACTACAGATGTAGCTTTAAGCACTTAACTGTTAAAGTTAAGCATTTATATCCCAGAGGAAAAGGTGGTTGATGTATTTACTGTCAGTGGTGCAAACAGGCAAGACATTTTTATTATGAAAGGATCAGTACTGGTACACTACATGAAGACTGATTGGAAGAGTTGATTATTGGGTTAACTAACCAAAATTGCCTGGTATCAAAAGATACCCAGGGAGAGAGAGGAAAGCCAAGGTATAGATGATATAATTTCGTAATTATGATGAAATAGACTTTAGTTGATATCTAATGAATAACACTTTCCCAGTCAAGATATTACAAATGTAATCAACAGAAGACCCATCTTCCAATAATTAAGGCAAACACAAAGGCAGACACTAGAGACAGATTTTGATAAATGTTGCCATTTCCTTCATTGCAGGGTGAGAAATAGCTAAATTTTGATGACTTATAAAGTAAAAATGTTAACTATACTAATGCCCCTCTTGAGATGTCTTTATAGTGTGTGAATATAATTAGCTTGCTGTTTCTTTCTTGTGTTATGGGAGCCCATAATTATCAGCCTAATGATTTTTTCCTTCTTCCTCAGAGGAAGTTTGCTAACTAGAAGTCTCTCAGAAATTGTGAAGAAGGATGACTTTGTTCTTGATTCAGAGTATCTCGTCACGTTACTGGTTGTAGTTCCCAAGTATGTTTTTTTATTAAAAAGATTTTTTTACCTGTTAAAATACAAGAAAAATGTTTGTATCTGACATTTTAATTTGAAGTTTTCCATAAAATCCAAGTGTAAAGGGACTCGCACTGAAGGGTGCCAGGTTCGATTCCCTGGTCAAGAGTTGCAGGCTCCAGAGCTCATGTGGGAGGCAACCAATTGGTGTGTGTGTGTCTCTCTCCCCTTCCCTCATTCCTTTCCCCTCCCTCGGAATAGCAATGGAAAAAATATCCTCGAGTGAGGATTAACCACAACAACAAAATTCAAATAAAAGAAAAGGAAGACTAATTACCTAGTTTAAAAAAACACACAACACAAGAAAGACGGGCAGAAAATCATGTATTTCATGAAAGATGTTCAATATCACTGATTATTGGGGTGGAAAAATGCAACTCAAACCACATTGAGATATCACTTCATACCTATTAGAATGGCTACTATCAAAAAGTCAAGAAATAACAAGTGTTGGGGTGGATGTGGAGAAACGGGAATCTGCTGCCTTTGTAAAATCTATTTGGAAAGTAAATCTGTGCAAACATTGGGCATAAAGTTGCAAGAATGACTGGTTATGGTGCAACATGTTCTAAGAGGAAAAGCCTCACCAAGGAAAGAATGAGCGGGGGCAGGGGCAGAGATGGGAGGAGGCA